ACTGTCTTGCAGGGGGTGGAGAGGTCACTTATTTGGGTAATGTTTGGCTGAGTGTCCCTTTATCAAGTGGCATTGATAAAGTCACTTGATTTTTCAGCTGATGCCTGGGCTGGGCTGGGCTGGACTGGGCTGGACCAATAAATACTTCCTGAATAGAAATATCAAATGGCATTGATAAAGTCACTTGATTTTTCAGCTGATGCCTGGGCTGGGCTGGACTGGGCTGGGCTGGACTGGGCTGGACCAATAAATACTTCCTGAATAGAAATATAAATGAAATGACGCATGCAAGAAGAAATTAACAACAATATAAATACAAAACTGGATGAACAGTTAACATTTCTGACTTTCCTAAAATGCCAACTCCTTGGAAATAGGGTCTTTTTTTTAATCTGTCTCTTTATATCTTAATATGGCCCTCTCCACTAATAGATGCTAGGTAAATATTTGCCCAGTGAATTCATGTATTTTAATTATCATAGTTAAAGAAGATAATGAGGTTTATTCCCATCACATACATTGGTATTGAATGAGTGAAGGTTTTATTAATGAATCAGCAGAGCCCTGTACTTAGGAAAATCAAATATTTATTTGACAATAAGAAAACAAAAGGGATCAGACCCTGGCTGCCCCTTTCTTCTTTTTTTTCTTTGGTCAGGGCTGTGAGACTTTCTTATGGGGAGATGGCAGCCCAAACAGCCCAGGGACCCACAGCCTTTCCCAGTGACAGTGGGGCCTTTGCTTCTGACACCCAGTCATCTTTCTCCTTGCAGGACTGCCAAGACTAATGATGATGATGTGAAAGGCCCAGGGCCCTGAATTCTGCGCCACTGCCCCTCTCCTGGAGGAGCAAGTGATGTTACAATTCTCTTAACATTCTGGCTTTGTGCTGCCCCTTGTGCTAGTGAAAGCTTACAGTAATGACCGGGAACAAGTACTAGATTCAGCAGAGAGAATGGAAGCAAGCATTTGGGATCCTAGGAAGGGAAGAGTGCCCTCACTAGGTGACCCCACTCACAGCATGTGACTTCACGTACCAGGAAGCCAGGGCAAGATGATTCATTAGCATCCCAGCTAGCAATGGCAAGTCTCAGCTGGTCCTGGTCATTCTCCACCAGGCAGCCTTGAGTGACTTCTTTGACTTCTCCAGAGCTTTGATCACCTCTTCTGTGAAGTGAGATTGATTCTTGAGTGTTCGTCCTCTCCACCCGCCCCTGCTTCACTATCCCAATCTGGGTGACTCGTAGAAAAATATTGCAAGTTCCAGGAAGTTTTACAACAGCAAAGTGTTTTAATTTTTTTTACCACTTTAAAATCAGACTACTTTAATTGTTGGTCTCCCTGGCTTATTAGATTTTTAGTTTTTTAAATTATTTTTCAAGGTCCCCTGCCATTCTGTTTTAAGACATTTTGATTCTTTGCAGTATAAAATTGTATAATTCCTGCAAACCCCAGAGACCATCAGTTGTCACTTAGGTTAAACAACAGTTTCTTGCAAACTTGGGCTAAGTTTTAGTACAAGGGCATTTTTAGGAGCATCAAGGCATTTGGAAGATTTTTTTTTTTCTTTGTCCCCATGAGTCTTCTTAAACATACTGTTCTCTGTGAATATGAATTTTAATGAAGTCCAAGTTCCAATGATGGTTTTCTGCTGTTTTTAGATTTATTGTCTGAGAATTTCATACATGCATATAATGCATTTTGATCAAGCCCACCACCCATTCCTTCCCTTCCAGTTCCTCCCTAATCCCCACCACCACTCTGCCTTCCCAATTTCATGTGCTCCTTTTTAAAAACCGAGTCCATTTAGTTCTGCCAGTATGTGACTTGGTGTTGGGCCATCTACTAGAACATGGGTCACCTATCAGGGGTGCATCCTTACAGGAAGAAAAGTTCATTTTATTTAAACCTCATATCTTTCCAAGCAGGATAAGAATTTTCATAGAAAAAGATGAGCTTCTGACTCTGTTTCAGGCTAATTCTGAGCCCATGTGCTGTCCCTCTCGGTCCCCATGCTGGCCTAGTTTAAGGGGCAAATTAAAGAACAAGACTTTTCAGCCTGAGAGAACATTGTCTTACGTAGGGCAATTTTAGATATTAGGACTTCGTTGCTCCAGAAGCAGCTACCAGTTTTGAGCTTGATGGAGTGTTAAATGCTTTCCTGTGTATTATCTTAGTTATTAAAATAGCTTGCAAAGTCCCATTTTTCTGGAAATACTAAGTAATTTGCCCACGTTCCTGCAACTGGGCTGAAGCAGGGCTGGCATTTAGATCCAAGCAGCCTCCAAGACAAATTCTTTCCACGTGGCTATTTTTCCCCTGCTTCTCATTGAGTACGAGTTGGTTTCTCTGTTTTCTAATGGAAGACACTTAAACTATGTAAGTCTTGCTCCATTGTTATCTAATTTGTTTTTTAAATAGCTTTAATTCATTTTCTGATGCTTTGTCCCAGTTGGTGGCTGATCTTTTCATGATCTTAACTGCATCTTTTAATGAGATGTTCTGAATTTTGATGAAGTCTTTATTTCCCCCCCTTCTTGGTGGATTGTACATGTGGTGCTGTACCTAACAAATCTTTGGATACTTCTGGCTTATAAAAATATTCTTTTATATTTGCTCCTAAAACTTTTACAACTTTGGAGTGATTGCTATTCATCTTTTGAGGCGTGGAATAAGGTGCACTTTGCATGTGAATATCTAATGATTGTCATACCATTTGTTGGAAACTAGCTTATCCCCCCCTCAATTGCCTTCAGACCCTGTACTAGATCAGAATTGAATATAACTTTCAATGAAAGTTCAGAAACTACTTTAAGATCTAGACTATCTTCATCAATGTTTACATCCTTTGCTGTTGTCCTAGCAAAGTGTGGACTGTAACATTAGAGGGTGTTTATCTGGTCACATTGCCCGTATCGTGCTCTCCACTATGTTTTGAATTGGGGCGATGGCTTTGTTCAGATGTCTGGATGCTCTATTTGACAGTGATATGTGAACTGTTCTGGTGCCTGTCTCTTTCATTAAAGCATAGCCTTGTTTACTTTAGACTTTGCTAGCTGCTGGGCACAGTGAGGAGTCATTTATAATTAGGCCAGTGAAAACACTGATAATATAAGCCATCGCTGCCACTGGGTGTTATTGAGCAGATTATCCACATTGGATCTTGGTTTTGTCATTTGTCAAATGAAAGGTCTAAGTTAGTTAGCTTTGAATAATACATTCAATTCTAAAATCCTTTGACTCTTCTCATATCTTTATTCACTTAAAACTTACAATGCCTTTAAAAGTAAGTAAAAACTCTTGACAGCATTAAAGGAGGGCTCGTTGTAAAAGAGAGCTTTCCAGTCAGGAGTCTGGTCTTGGGAAGCATCCCAGACTTGCCACCACCACAGCATGAGTTTCTTACTATGTACTCTTAACTATGGCCAACATTAAGCAGTTTTAATGTGTTATGGTTCCTTGTGCTATGACAATTTGTAGTCCATGAAACACTAAAATAGTGAGAAGGAGAATGGACACTGAGCCTGGGCAGTTTTAAATTCAGTGTTTCCCTAGTTGATGGACTAGATTTTCAAATACAGCTCCAAAGTATTGAGCATATTGAAACCAAGAGCACTTTAAATGTCATCACTGCCCTTTCTGTTCCAAGGCATAGCAGGGATACTCTGTCTATACTCCCTGTCATCTTAGAACAAAAAAAACCTCACAGAATGAAAAACTTAGCCTGATATTTATCAGGAAAGGCAAAATTAAAATGTACATGAATTTAAAATATGGGGAACATTTATAGAGTACTTATTGTGTACCAAGTACTGTATCAAGTACTTCTTTTGCATTATATGTCTCTCACAATCTTGAAAACTTTGGGCATTATCACCTCCTTATTATGGAGGAAGAAATGGTGACAAGTTTCTGTTAACTACCCAAGGTCATACAGAGTGACAGAGCTGGTCTTCGTTTCTGTTCACAATCTCAAACTCACACTAATAATGACCACATCAAAGACTAGTTCTCATTACTCAATGACCACATCAAAGACTAGTTCTCATTACTCAGTATATTTAGGGAGTAATTGAATTTCTAGTATAAATTATAGTACACTAAACCTGAATAATAAGTGTTAATGGATAACTTTGGGGTAAACTTGATAAAAGAAGAATTCACAGAAGACTTCCTGAAGCAATTACTTTCAGCTATATTTTGAAATGAAGGACTCGAATTGGCCTAGAGGGAAAGGTGAGCTTCTGCTAAGTAGATTCGAGGAGGCTTAGGAGAGACAAATGATCAAATCATGTGCTTGGCAAGCAACATGGAGACTTAACTCATTATAGGACAATAGCTAGAAATAAAGCTGATGTCATAGGGGTAGAAATCCAAGAAATGTTGATTCATTATGGAGGACACTGGGGTTCCACTCTCAGAATTTAAGCAAGGGGAGGAACATAGTTAAAATTACATTGGATCTTGCAAATTACCTTCTACCTTATGTAGTTACAATGGGTAAATAGAGCTTTGAAGATCAAGAGGAAATTTCTTAGAATATATTCGCTTCTCAAATAGCCTCCTCATGAATATAATGTCAGTATGTGCCCTTAATGATATAATGGCGCTGTATTTGGGTTCCTAAATTAAGAGGCCTGGGTGAAGATTTTAGGCAGTTTTGGGAAATAATAGTGACCATAATCTGTCATAGTTGGGCTGTAAAGCACCTCTTTGAAGCCCATCATCATGGATATTGAGCAGTGTGTATAAAAGGAACATATAGGGTTATACATTAAACTCAGGGTCGGGCAAAGAGAAATCTCTCAACAATATGTGTTAAATTGGGTTGAATTGAAGTCCGCTTCGAGATGCTAATGTGTTTGGTGAATTACAGTTGTATTCTTTTCATTATAAACTCCCTAATGCTGACTGAATGTCTCTCACATTTTACTAAAGTGTTTCTTCCTTTCTCTGTCTCTGTCCCTGTCTTTCTCTCTCCTTTCTCTCTCTCTCTCCAGTTCCAGAGACCTAATGACTTCTCACCCCCTTTCCGCTTTGGGACTGTGCCCAATGGCAGCACAGAGAGGAATATTCGTAATAACTATGCAGAAATGCATGCCTACATGGGAAAGTTCAACCAAAGGGGTGTAGATGATGCATTGCTCTCCCTAAAAACGGGGTAAGAACTGCTTCCAAGCTCAGAGTGCTGAGTTCCTCGCCTTTATTAAACATAGGTTGAATTGGTGGCATAAAACATTAAAGCGAAGATTTTATCTCCAAGCTAACTTGGATGGTATAATTCCAGCCAGTGCACAAAGGTTCCTCTGCTGTTACTGCTGTGTGTTGTCCTACCAATTTTTTTTCTCTATTTGCGTGAATGTAACCATGTAGTGGAAATTAAACAGATTAAAAAGCAGAAGGGAAGTGTCAAGGAGAAAGCACACATATTCACACAAACTATAAGAGGTTAAAAATGATCATTCTTATGTCTTAACAAGGGAGAAGTAAAAGAGAAAATGTGCAAAAGTTTTAGATAACAAAACGTAAGAAGTGTTGATGATTGCTCTCCAATTCCAGATTTGATTGGCATTCCTCGTTGCTCTGCTTTGTCCTCTAAAAGTATTTGTTCACAAACTGTGAATGTGCTGGCACACATCACATCAGGCACACTTGCCTTTCGGTCACCAGATCCATGAAAAATGATAGACACTTACATCTGTTTTCCTTGGTTGTATGGTGACTGGCAGCATGTGGACTTCCTCTGACCATCCCTGTAGCTCTGGGTCTCCAAGAGCCACCTAGACACAGGGCTATTTAAAATATTGTGAGAGGGGCTGGAGAGATAGTTCCATGGTTAAGGCTTGCTACACTTGCAGAGGACCAAGTTTCAGTTCCCAGCACCCCTGTGGCAGCTTATAACCACCTGTAACTCCAGTTTCAAAAAATTCTAATGCCTTTTACTGGCATTCATAGGCACCAGACACGCACATGGTACACTTACATACATGCAGGTACTCAGACATACACGTAAAGTAAAAATAAATCTTTAAAAAATAAAATACTGTGAGATTCAGTTTCATCAATATAAAAGTCATAGGAGATTTCAAGAGATGGGATTTGAGCTTGGGGTAGGAATGCTTTGGGTAATCCGAACCCTGGTATACCCATAGTTCTGCTACACCAGCTCTTTGATGGTTCAGTCTGCCACTTTCCTGTAGGGTGCATTTTGTAACGTATCCTGTGGCTTGTCGTGTCAGAAAGGGTTTGCTTTTTACTTAATTTGTGAAAGTTCAGGCATGCTGTATGTCCTGCTTCCTCTCAGGCTTCTTAATCGCATGGCTTTACCTGAGTCTCTTCCTCTACTTTTGATGCATGCTCTCCTGCTCTTCCTCCTAATCTTTTCTGTATGCATTCCTTCTTTGCAAAGCTCGATTCATAAAAGGATTTCCTTATTTACTTAGGAATCTGAAAGCTCTCTGTATGTTGCCTTCTCTTGCAGTATCACAGGCTTCTGCTTTCGCCATCCCAGCCCCTCACAGCAGAGCCACACAGAACAAGAGACTATTGAAATCCTTTTGACCACCAAAATAGCATTGCACATCCACTGAAACACACGTACCACACTTATCCCCACTCTGGACTGTAATGAACTGAGAAATGAAAAATGTTATATAAATCATACCCATGCTATTTGCTATCATTGTAGTGCTTACTTTTCATTATTTCTGTTATTATTTTTATTGATTCCTTTTTACTCCTTTTCAGACACAGCTTATGAGTTGGCTTCAGGGCCAACTTACATTTTTATCATTCCCAGTGGAAAGGGGTAAACAAAGTCCTCCTTCCAACGTGAAATCACATCAAGATCATCCTAGGATGCAGGCTTCAGATTCTGGCCCTGATCCAACTTGAGCCTTACTGTGTACCAGTTTTCCACATAACTTCCTCGAACCCTATTGTATCACATTAATGGCTCAAATGGGTAGTTTTGCTCTGCAATCCCCTTTGGAATTTGTTTGCTTCTTTCTTCTGCAGGAAACTCGATGCCTTCATCTACGATGCAGCAGTACTCAACTACATGGCTGGGAGAGATGAAGGTTGTAAGCTGGTGACCATTGGCAGTGGCAAGGTCTTCGCGTCTACTGGCTATGGCATTGCCATCCAGAAAGACTCCGGGTGGAAGCGCCAGGTGGACCTTGCTATCCTGCAGCTGTTTGGAGATGGTGAGTCAAAGGAAATGTGCCCACTGGGCCTTAAGCAAGGGCCACTCTGAAATCCAAGCCTTTCTTCTCCTTCATCCAAAACAGCATTTCACATTGTATGATGAGATTTGAGAGGGTATAACAGGGTCTGTGAATGGAGTGATAAAAACACTAAGATATATTGAAGTTCTGGAGACTCCTGGTGTGAGCAGGTTGTGCTTCACCTGTGAGTGGTAAGGGAGAATCCATTTTATACGTGCCTCATGGCATCTGATGTATTTGGTGTTCCTTGACTTGGAGCAACATCACTTGGATGCCTACTTTGATTCTACTGGGTCCATGTTTTTCCTCCATATGTGTCCCTTTCCACATTCACCTTTCGCTTAAGTCAGTCATATCCAATTTGGGGCCCACTATGCCCCAAAGTGACCTCATCATAACCAGTTGTAGTTGCAATGACACTATTTCTAAATTAGTCACATCCTAAGTTACCAGAAATTAGGACTTCAGTATATGAATTTTACAAGGACCCAACCTAACCCACACTGGATAAAACATGAGGAAAAGGATTAAAGCAGTTGATCAAGGGGGTACATTTGATGATTATGTGGTATAATGAAGACTTCAGGGACAAAGTAAGTAGGGTTTGATGCTCCAAATGATTATCGCTCATTGTAAAGGGACTCTACTCTTTGTGTTCCTAGAGAAAAGGCAGAGAAATGACTTTGTGGCTTTCTTCTCATTCTTCTCTCAGTCCTGCCTCGCTCTTCTGGCTGAAGAGATAGGTGTCAGAGTTAGCATCCTCAGATGCAAACACTAGAAGGCACTTTCCTGTATCATTCTGATAGTTGACTTGAACAGCCAACTTGGACTGAAAGAGTCCATTTTATTACACTGTCTTCTGTATTTATCATTAATTCATTGTCCAAAGCACTGAATTTTCCCACCATCTTCATGGAAACTAATCCAGATGCAGATGAGCAGCCTCTCTCTGCACGGCTTCCCAGCCCATCAGCCAAGTACATCTCATGATTATGGCTTCAGGACCATTTCTGTTAGGAAGAAGTTGGGCACAGAAGCCCAGACGTGGGTTTCCAGAAGCTGGCTAGTGCTAGTTAGGAAAAGCATAGTTTAACCAAAGAAATGAATAAAGGTAATTGGATGCCCATCAGAAAGAGCAGGGGATTGTTAGCTGGAGTGTTAACGAGCCATTTTGATATAAGAGCTCTTACCATAGTCACTTATAGACAAATGAAGCCTGTGTCTAGGACCAAACAAACAAACAAAAAACCAGTAGAGCTCTCATCAGATCATGCACATGAAATTCAAATCTTTAAACCAGAATTGATAGAAAAATTTCCTCCAATAGATTTCTGGAATTCTGTTTATATAGAATTAGTGGCATTCTAGGGTCCGTGTTTTGTTTCATTTTCCTCTTGAGAACGATTTCTTCACTTCTAATTTCTAGTATCCAGTGATACTAGGTAAAAGTCATTAACATCTGACAAAATTCAACTAATCAAAGTCTCCTTAAGCAGTGTTAAGAGGAGGCAGGTCTGATGTAGATGATCTTGTTTTATTCAAAATTATTCCTCTTTGCCTTTTCATATTTTCATCTAAAAGAGATACATAAATCGAGAGGTGCTAGGGATTTGATAACTCTCCCAATGTCTTCTGCCTCTGCTTCTCCAATCTAATCTGCTCTTTACAATTCTAAAAGTGAGTTTCCAAATCACCTGTTTGATTGTTATTCCCCACTGTCTAGAGAATAAAGCACGATGTGCTTAGCTCGACACTAAGTTCTTCAGAATTCTTGCATCAATCTTTTCATTCAACTTCTTTAGCTGAGGGTTATTCCACGTGAACTGTTCTTCATGTCTCTCCCTACATGAGCCTTCTGTTTGTTCACCTCCTCCCCACTGACCTTCTTGCAGCAGCCTGGAACACCTTCGTGTGCAATATAAATAAAAATGTTCTTATTCCCATGCCCATTCACAAGTTTTACCACTCTCGTGCAAATTCTTGGCACACAAAATTGCCGACACCAACTTGAACTTGTTACTTGCCTAACGTATGGTTTGTCCTATTTATATGCCAGTTTAAACTGAAAAGATAAAGGAGAACCCTAGGGAAGTTCCATGTCACCTGTAATTAATTCATTGCACTACTTATGGGATACATTGATGAATTAAGATGTAATGGTATTGAGGAAAAGTAGTTAATGTTCTTTATTCATTTTCTTTGTGTCTCTTTCTCTGTCATGCTTTTGTTCACTCTTAATATTCCTCTCATCTGTCCCCCTTTCTCTAACCCCTCTCCTTCTCTACCCTCTTTATAGGGGAGATGGAAGAACTAGAAGCTCTCTGGCTCACTGGCATTTGTCACAATGAGAAGAATGAGGTCATGAGCAGCCAGCTGGACATTGACAATATGGCAGGCGTCTTCTACATGTTGGGGGCAGCCATGGCTCTCAGCCTTATTACCTTCATCTGTGAACACCTTTTCTATTGGCAGTTCCGGCATTGTTTCATGGGTGTCTGTTCTGGCAAGCCAGGCATGGTCTTCTCCATCAGCAGAGTAAGTGCTTTGATTTAGATACTTAGAGCTTATTAAGGATGGCTTTGTCATGATCTGTGGAAAGAATGTGCTATTCCCAGCTTTATGTGGCTAAAGCATGAAGCCAGATCATGTATACTTCCCTAGGAGTCTATGGAACATTATTTCAAATGTCTCAAAGAATGGGTTATTGTTTCCTTTGGTGTGGGGTTTGGGCATTTGATTCTCAGTCATAACTGGGAGCTCTCTCAAGATAGAAATTTGACTTGTCCCCAGATGCGGTTTGTCCCCATTCATTGTATAAAGACTACACCAGTCATGTAATCCTTTGAAAAAAATCCTGTTTCTCCTTAAAATGTGGGATTTCATCTCTCTCTTCCTCTAACATGAAGGCATCAAAATTATTGATGGTTTTGCTGTTCCCCTGTTTTAACTACAGGTGGGGTATGGGGAGTTAGAGAACCTAAAAGCTTGACTGTGATGGTGCATGCCTGAAATACTAGCACCAGGAGGCTGAGGCAGGAAGATCACAAATAAATGTGTCTGTATGGAGAAGATATATATTTCTCTAGATATGAGATATAGGCATTTCTACTTCAAAGCAAGGTATTATGAAAACAATTTGGTAATATCCACAGGTCACAGAGGGGAGTTTTTAAAGAGAGTAGGCCCCTTTTGATTTTGTTAATAAGGTTATAGAACTCATTCAGGACTGATGCACCCAAGTGACCTTTTAGGAGGTTCTTGTTCCAGATATGACCAACTTGGATTCAAATGGATTTATGAAAGAAAATGGATTTCTCTTTAAATTTTTTCATTTTCTGGTTACGTTTGCTGTCGTATTTTACCAATGGGGAACAACTCCATTTCCTTTCTAGCTTTGAGTTAATACAGGTCACTCGGTAGCATCAGAGCAGGAGAATGGAACTTGTGGGAATCCCCATTCCTGTGTGTTGTGGTCCCCCATCTGCCCTTTTACCCAAGTCCATGGGACAGTGGCAGAAGCAATGGGAAATAGTGACCCATCACAGAAATCTCATTCATAGCCCTCAGATATAAGCAATGCCCTCACATAGAAGAAATACTCATGGCCATTGTTAAGAGGGCTCAGACAGGAAGAGCCAGGAAAGTAAGTAGAATCCCCTTCCCAGGAGCTTCTTTCCCACACAACTGCTATTTTCCTTATGACAGTTATGGCCTCACCCCCTATCCACTGGGGCAAATTCCGCTTTCCAAGTTAATCCACTGGGATGTAAAGACACAGTCCAAAAAGGCACTTCTCCATATTCCTTCCCAGAGAGAAAGCCCCAAGTCTGGTAGCAAATGAGAGGTTACTTTTAGGAGTGGAGAGACTGCAGCCCCTTCTCATGGGTCCACTTCTTTGGTGCCCTGAATAAGGAGCTGTCCACAGAAATCTCATCAAGACTAATTTGGTAGAACATTATTTATAGTGCTAAGTATAAGAAGGAAACCCTAAGTTAAAGACTGAACATTATTTATAGTGCTAAGTATAAGAAGGAAACCCTAAGTTAAAGACTGAATAAAGGACAGAATTCAACAAGGGAGTTATTTATTCATATAGAATGCTTGATATTTGCCCCAATTCTTCCCTTCCATGATGTAAGGCGCAGGAGAAAAATCTTTCTTTGACCCCAGGGCTTTCTAATTCTCTGTGTGAATCTGGTTCACACTCCCTTGTTATTTGGTTACCAAAATGCTAAAAGCTGCCTCAATTGATCAGAGCTGGAAATGAGAGGTAATTGTGAGTGGCTACCAGTCAGGGCAGAATGGCCTCAGTATCGGTAGATAAATGCCCTGTGCGTCTAAGTCTGGTAATGGTTTTGGCTGTGGGTTTATAGCATGGACTCTGTTAAAACGTGAAGATTTAAATGTAGAAAAGGCAATCAAGGTAGATCATTGGTGTAGGTGAGGCCATGTCCAGTCCGTTTTCTCCTGTCCCTTGGTATAACTGTGTCCCCACTCTGATGGCCACATCACTGTCTTCAGCAAGTTTTATTATAAGCCAAATACAAAGGTATACAGACAACCTCCTGGCCACATTTCCTGTGAGTGTACCAGACTCTGTGCCTCATGAGTTTCCTAGCTTTTCTTACAGTTAGCAGTAGGACAGTGTTTATGGTGAGTTTCTGCTTCTCTGAATTTGACCTGTCCCGTCTGATCCCCCTGCAGGGTATCTACAGCTGCATCCATGGAGTCGCTATTGAGGAACGTCAGTCCGTGATGAATTCGCCAACCGCCACCATGAATAACACACACTCCAACATCCTGCGCCTCCTCCGCACTGCGAAGAATATGGCCAACTTATCAGGCGTGAACGGCTCACCTCAGAGTGCCCTGGACTTCATCCGCAGGGAGTCATCTGTCTATGACATCTCTGAGCACCGCCGCAGCTTCACGCATTCAGACTGCAAATCCTACAACAACCCACCCTGCGAGGAAAACCTGTTCAGTGACTACATCAGCGAGGTGGAGAGAACGTTTGGCAACCTGCAGTTGAAGGACAGCAACGTGTACCAAGATCACTATCACCATCACCACCGGCCCCACAGCATCGGCAGCACCAGCTCCATCGATGGGCTCTACGACTGTGACAACCCCCCTTTCACCACCCAGCCGAGGTCAATCAGCAAGAAACCGCTGGACATCGGCCTGCCCTCCTCCAAACACAGCCAGCTCAGTGACCTGTATGGCAAGTTCTCCTTCAAGAGTGACCGCTACAGTGGTCATGACGACTTGATTCGCTCTGATGTCTCAGACATCTCCACGCACACGGTGACCTATGGAAACATCGAGGGCAATGCCGCCAAGAGGAGGAAACAGCAATACAAGGACAGCCTGAAGAAGCGGCCAGCTTCAGCCAAGTCCCGCAGGGAGTTTGATGAGATCGAACTGGCCTACCGGCGCCGACCACCCCGCTCCCCGGACCACAAGCGCTACTTCAGGGATAAGGAAGGGCTCCGGGACTTCTACCTGGACCAGTTCCGAACAAAGGAGAACTCTCCCCACTGGGAGCATGTGGACCTGACCGACATCTACAAGGAGCGCAGCGATGACTTTAAGCGAGACTCGGTCAGTGGCGGTGGGCCCTGTACCAACAGGTCTCACCTCAAACATGGGACAGGCGACAAACATGCTGTGGTAGGCGGGGTGCCGGCCCCTTGGGAGAAGAACCTGACCAATGTGGAGTGGGAGGACCGGTCCGGTGGCAACTTCTGCCGCAGCTGCCCCTCCAAGCTGCACAACTACCCCTCCACCGTGGCAGGTCAGAACTCGGGCCGCCAGGCCTGCATCAGGTGTGAAGCTTGCAAGAAGGCGGGCAACCTGTATGACATCAGTGAGGACAACTCCCTGCAGGAACTGGACCAGCCGGCTGCCCCCGTGGCTGCGACATCCAATGCCTCCACCACCAAGTACCCTCAGAGCCCAACTAATTCCAAGGCCCAGAAGAGGAACCGGAACAGACTGCGCCGGCAACACTCCTATGACACCTTCGTGGACCTGCAGAAGGAGGAGGCCGCCTTGGCCCCGCGCAGCGTGAGCCTGAAAGACAAGGGCCGATTCCTGGATGGTAGCCCCTACGCCCACATGTTTGAGATGCCAGCTGGTGAGAGCACCTTTGCCAACAACAAGCCCTCAGTGCCCACTGCCGGACACCATCACCACAACAACCCCGGCAGCGGCTACATGCTCAGCAAGTCGCTCTACCCTGACCGGGTCACGCAAAACCCTTTCATCCCCACTTTTGGGGACGACCAGTGCTTGCTCCACGGCAGCAAATCCTACTTCTTCAGGCAGCCCACAGTGGCAGGGGCGTCGAAAGCCAGGCCGGACTTCCGGGCCCTTGTCACCAACAAGCCAGTGGTGTCGGCCCTTCATGGGGCTGTGCCAGGCCGTTTCCAGAAGGACATCTGTATAGGGAACCAGTCCAACCCCTGTGTGCCTAACAACAAAAACCCCAGGGCTTTCAATGGCTCCAGCAATGGGCATGTTTATGAGAAACTTTCTAGTATTGAGTCTGATGTCTGAGTGAGGGAAGAGAGAGGTTAAGGTGGGTATGGGAGGGGTAGGGGCTGTGGGTCGAGTGGTGCGCATGTCATGGAGGGGGTTGGGGGTGAATGTGTTTCCCATTTGCTTCTTTCTTGTTCTTTTCATTTCTTTATGGGATCCTGGCGGTCTGGTTCCTACTGAAGCCAACCCTGTGGCCAGCACTCTCTCCCCTCCCATCTGTCCAACATCCCTGTTCCCATGAGAGGATAGAATGGGCCTCTCAGCATGGGAAGATGGAGAGAAGACAGGAAATGCTTCCTATATGCTTCTTCCTTGCACAGAAGGGCTCTTTGCCACCCCCCACCCCCTTTGACTGAGGCTTAGACAATCTAAGGGAGGCCACTGTGAGCACAGAAGTAGCTTTTTCAAAACTACTCTCGAAGGAAGGAAGCTGAGGCATCGAAATAAGACCATTTAGCATACTGCTCCTAGAAGAGGATTCTGCTACTTTGCTACATGACCGACATCTACCTAGGAGTCAGGTGCCAAGCAAAGGGTAGGAAGCCATTGTGTGCTTATATATAAGCCAAAAATTGTTTGCTTCTGCTCCTTAAGACTCATTAACCAAAGGGAAAGGTCACTGGTGGATGAGGGATTCCTGAACTGGAAAGTTCAGTGCAATGGTGCCCCATGGTGCATTGGAGGCAAGAGTAATGGGAGCGAGCGGGTGTCCACGTACAGCTGCACCCACATGTAGTTGGGTGCCTCTCAACACAGAGAAGGCAACTTTGACTTGTTTCTTCCACATACTTAAGCAATGTGCTTTTTTGGCTTATATATAAACAAAGATAGTCACAAATCACCTGGATTTTGAGTATCTTGCCCTTTTACCCTTCCTGGATGAAAAGGATGGAAGTTATTGACAAAGAAGAGTGTGTATTATAGAAAGTGAAAGGGACCTAGGTAATTCTACAAAGCACGGTAGGAAGGTATCTTTCTAGGGATTGTAACTTCAAGAAGCTTGAACCAAGAACTTTCCAGGAAGGCTGAAGGGAAATACGAGAGCCATTATTCTTTTATCCACACCAGAGAGCAAAAGATTCTAGAAACTCTTTTGAGTTTTTAGCCCCTTGACTGGCTGAGGTTTGGGGGAGGAAGTCAGTAAGCTGTTGAAGAAGATGGGATCTTTTGTGCTAGGGTAAGTGAGAGAGGGGGATGTTTTCAATGCTTTGATCCCTTCTCACTGAACCTGGAGCTAGAAGAGCAGGAAAATTCCCCCAGAACTGATGACAAGCAACAGGCAGGGAAGAGAAAAGAGCTTGTCCCCCAGGATAGAGCTCTGGAGGTCTAGAGATTTGGAGGTGGGAGCCTGGCTCCCTGGGAATGTGGTTGAACCAGTGTGAACACTCAAGGTAGACATGCTTTCACCTTTCTGCAACACTCCTGTTCCCCCTCAGATTGTACCACTCAAAAGTAAATATATGTATGTATGTGTGTGTGTGTATGAGTGTATAAAACTCCAGGGATGGGGTGCTGGCAGGTGTGATGCCTCCTCACTTAAAGTTGTAAAATTAAGAAGGGAAATGAGTTGTCACTGCCCGTCCTAAAACTTGGGGTAGGGGTGTTCTCTGGGTCAGTTTCACTGTCCTGCCCTCCCCTCATGCAGGGTGGTATCCAAAGAGCCCGGGTCTGTTTGGAAGCTTGACCACAGGATCGCCTTGTTGCACACAGGACACATAAACCAGAAAGGTGCTTATCCTCCTCTGGAACGAAGCTGCCATGTCTCTTCACGTCACACCCTCCAGGGCTGCTCTTTGCCTTCCTGGTCGCCCTGCCTCACGGCCTTTCCTCATCCCCCATCCTTGACTGCTGTCCCCCACCCTCCTCCTTGATTTTTACCTCAGTATCTTTCATTTTAAAGCCAACCGAAGGCCTTGTTTTCTTTCTAAAATGAACGTGGGGGCAAGGGGCTGAACCTCTCACAGATCTGGAGAGAGGAGCACGGAGTGCTTTACCTTAGATTCCAGGAAAGACTTTGAGAGAGGACAGAGGGCGTGAGGCATCTCCCGGAGGAAGAAGGGCCATAGAAACATTGCTTCACCCTGGCTCTGTCCAAGGGCCAGGGACTCATCCCTCACTCTTCCTCTTACCTCACCCCTTTAAAATAAAATTTAAAAAAAAAAAAAAAAACCAAACCAACTAACCTAGCGAACAGCAATCTAGAACACAGGGGGCTCTGTTGGTCTTCATGGGCCACAGAAAACAAGATGGTGTTTATTTCATATGTAAATATTTTGTTTTCTAAATTTTGTATAGATAAAGTGTTCTCTTGTGAGTATTCAGGGTGTTGAGCTGGAGGGAGTGGGGTGGGGATGGGAATGAGGGTGGGGAAGTGTTTTGTTATGGGTTTTCATTTTCTGTTGGGAGGAACTGTTTGGTATGGCCTTGGCTATAGAGTGTCTGGAAAAAGGGAACAGGAACAAAAGCCACAATGATGAACAAGCTGGGAAAATCATTTGTGTCCATGCTCTGCCTCTAAAACCAGTATTCCTGCTGGTCTGTGAGAAGTTCTTATGCACTTTGGTCTGGGTTTTACTGGGTCCATATCAGCCCTAGGCAAACCTTGTTCTGACTCTTAGCTTCTAGGGAGACCATAAGGTATCAGCACTGTCGAAGATGAACTGGTGACACCAGATTTTCCCCTGTTGCTTGCACACGTTCCCCAAAGGGCTTGAAGAAAAGAATTGAGGTCCAATTCCCCTCCCATTCTTGGCATGACTGGGAGGTTGCAGGATACTAGAGCCTGGGGAACCTCCCAGCAGCATTTTCTGATGTTTAACAATCATCTGACCACTTACCCTTTCCTTTCTAGTACCTAGGCCCTGGCCCGTGCCTCCAGCCCACCTGTAGAAATTATCACTGCAGGCACACCCAGGAAATGTACACTAACTTGACTTTTTGAAGTATTTGGTATCAGGCTCCAGAGGGTAACAACGATAACAAGGGTCATACAAAAGATCACCAGATCTCAAAACTCATCGGCTATCAAGGTAGCCAAAGGTGGGAAAGTAGGTATGTGAGGGACAGTACCAATGGTGGTTTTTATATTGCCTTGTTTGTGTTACTGCCATCGGGAAGGTGCTATTTTGTTCATTAGGTGTCCCTAACCTGGTCTTGGGTTAACCAAATAGGATCTCACTCGACAGTTGGCTTTGTGGAAGGTGGCAGCTTCTCTCTCTCTGGGTGAAAATTCCAAATTGACATACTCAACATAGTGTATTTTCTCCCCTACCCTCCTGTCATTAGAAGCTGTCATCAGGATTATTTTATTATCTTTGACCCCTTATTTGGTCCCGGTTGATCACCTTTTTCAAACTGGATGTTAGAATTTGGGACCAAGTAAGGAGATGGGCCATGGAAACATTCCTTCATCCTGGCTCCATCCAAGGGCCTGCTCAAGAAAGACTAAGGATAGGAAGGCTGCCAGGTTCTAGATGTGACTGAATTCCAGAAAAACAAGGCAGTCTGATGCATAAGAATTCCACAGCCATTCTTCTGTCCCTAGCACAGATCAGTATGGAGCAAAACCCAGTCTATCCAAAACTGTGAGATTCTGCAGAGCCCTCAGGAGCACCTCGTGTCCCAGAGTGTTCTTCAGAACCCATGCTTTCTTGCATGTGCCCTCTCTCCTCCACCACGGAGGTGGGTTGTGCTCCATATCTCCCGCTGTGGAAGTGGGTTGGTGGGTGTGGCCCTGTATCACTCCTTTCAGTGGCAGTGCCGACACCTCAGCATGTCCAGTGACCTCAACAATCTGACCCTTGAATATGCCTGAGTAAAAATGTGCACACCCTTCAGGAGTGCTGCATGTGCAGTGGACCTTGTTATTTCAAAGTCGTCAGTGTGTATCCTCAGCCGGAACTTGGGGAACATCCTTCATTGTATTTCCCCTGTACTGGCCACAGCCATTTTGTGATTGGGGGAGGAAAAAAAATCCCAAATGATCCCATTAAATGTTGGTGGTGTCAGTCAGTAGTGCCCAAACAAACGCATGTGTAACTTGATAAAATAGTTGTCTATACAGTGAAGTATCACCTGCCCAGTCTTCCATGGCCATCAGGAACAGCCCCAGGGAGAATTTTCTGCAGAGTGCTGGTCACCTGCACATTTCATTTAAGAACTAGGGTTTCTTTGATTTTGTTTTTATTTAGTTTTTAGTTACTTCAAGATTTAGGGACAGACTAACTGGAATGTTTGGGCAATAGCCTTTAGAAGAGCTATTCCTGAACTCAACTTTGTTTTTTGTTTTTTTTTAAATCACCATCTGTCTCTTTCAAAGGCCCTGTCATTGCTTGGCACCCTGTGTCTGTTTTGGTGGGCTAGGAATGATTCAGTTGTGTGCGTAAATGATGTAACAGCAGTGTTTGTGATGAATGTGTTTGTGTTTCTGGGCATTGTGGCCATACTGTATGTGTTCTCTGAGCCCAAAGCCATATAGGAACTATGTGCTCCAGGGGCTGCTAAAACACTCTGGTATCGCCTTGGCTTTGTCACCTTGGTGTCAGAGACTCTTCTCCCTATCTAAGGAACACTTACCTACAGGAGGTCAGTCACATTGGAGTGGCTCTAGCCTTACCAATGGTAAATCATACATGGTGTGCTTTCAAGATCCTGAAAGAGCCTTCCAACTGCTGGCTTCCCAGGCAGATTTACTGCATTAGCAACAAGCTATTCATCTGCTGTTCAAATGAGAGCCTTCCTGGGAAAAGTGACATACTAAGCCATATTAGGGATTTGTACATTTAAACACCTAATCTACATTAGGATTCTCATTCCTTTTCCTGGGAGGAGGCTATGATACAGGAGAGAGAGAAATCAGAGAACATTGAGAGTAACAGAGCTGAGAGCAAGGATAAAGGTTCCAGAAAAGTCATTTAAATCATGTTTCATCTCCACTTAAGGCCCTTGAGATCCTGGATTAGGAGTTTTATTTAGGAATCTGTTTCAGTACACAGTCACCTATGTAGTTTGTAGATTGCTGAATTCAACGTATAGGGCAGGTAAGAATTGGGACCCTAGAAAGTAGACGCCTAATGCAAGATACCGAGGAGATAGCTGAAAAGATCAAATTGAATTCATATTTAGTATAGTAATCTAGTACTATGTTAAAATACTATGGTATTATCTGTTCTCTGTTCCAGTTCAATTAATCTTCCAATTAACCAACTTGTCCTACACCCTATGCTTTTCCAGCTTTCCCACCCCATTCTCTCTATTAAGGAGCCAGTGGTCCTCAGGTGCTATTTAACCTGTGGGGCAATTCATTTGTAGGCCTATGAGATGACTGGGTCAATGTTAAAATGGAGATTTGACATTCTGAGAACTTCCAATATTGATCTAGGTCTAGGAGTCCATCTTGTTTAGGGCTTAGCCATATATAAGGCCCCAGGTTGAATTAATTCATCCTACCCCCATGCCATTCTAACTGTATTAACTCAGTCACACAGAGTCCCTATGAGTTCTGGAACTTGGAATATGTGACCTATCTATTCCCACAACAAAGCCCCAATCAAAGCATGAAAGTCATTGCTGTGTCCATGCCCAGGAAAGATTGAAATTCAGGTTTTCTATGTACTGAACTGAGGGGAAAGATTTCTGCTCAGAGAGTATGGGGCTAGCACAGCCATACTGGATACTGATGTCAGAACTAATCACTGTGAGCTGCCGGTGCTGTCCCATGTTTTGCATTTGTTGGTGTGACGGGGGATGGTGGCACCGATGAGAACTGAAAGTGGAAAGTAGAGTGAATGATGGGATTCTTCATAGCCTTGGCATGCTGGTGTGTGGGATCAGTTGGGGCAAATGTGAGTGAAATGGAACTCAGTGCAGGGATCATAGTTCCAAGGGAGAAGCACAACTCTGAGCTCATTGCAAAGCTGTTATTTTAAAGATTTAGTTTCAACCTGAACTCTATGTGTTTGAAATTAAGTTTGGGGTTTGGGGGTGGTACCAAAATAAAATAATATAAAGCTCAACATAAATATGTGAGTTCAATTAAACCAAGATCTGTTGAGCACTTTTACTATGTTCCTGGGTTAGTGCTGGGATGATTTTAAATGGAGTATTGTTATATTCACATAGAATATATGAATGCATAAGTATAGAATATTTAAACATATGTATTATGTATATATAAATAGGTGTGCATAAATTTCTGTGATTGCACATGCAGGTTTGATATTTTTTGGTTTCATGGTATGACTCAAAGATATTCATTATGTTATTTTTAAAAACACTACAGTGATTCAACTCTCCACAGCAGAGCCAGCCCTGGCCCATTTCCTTGGAAATTATTATACATTCCAGAGCTAAAACTCAGCAGTTCCCTCTGTGGTCACAACCTTGCATTGTCTACATCTTATCTACCTTCCTTTAAGCCTCATCTGTTGTTCTGGTCTTTAAACCCATCTGGCTATGTTTACCTCCATCTTTGGTCATAGGAACCCATGAGTGACCTTGTGTTCACCTTTGTCACAATACTCTTACCAGAACTCTAATTTCTCCCCCTTCCACACACACATACTTTGCTCATTTAATGTTATATTCCAACCTCTCAATATCCACTGAATCCAAGAAAAGGTCGTAAACCTGTATTGAAGAGGACAAAATTAATCCACATAATCTTACCTGAATCCTACCCGGCTTGGACAGCTTTAAAAACATTTTTTCCTATGTTGATTCTTTGTCACAGTCTTTAAGTGGTTGTTACATTTTTCTTTTCCTTTCATGTTCAGCTTCTTTTTTTCAATAAGCATTTTCCTCAATTCTGGAAGCAAGAAGAGACACCAAATTATTGCCTTTTGGTATAATCTTCCCCCCCAACCCCTCCCCCCTTTGAGTGTCTCCTGTCCTTCACTCATATTTGCTTAACCTCTCAATCTAATGCTCTTTTCCCTGTGCTTTCAATGCCTCTTTAAGGTCTTCTGAGGCACACACCAGCTGATATCACTTCTCTCCATTCCATCTTTACTCCCTTCCACACACCTGACTGCACTTATCTCAAAAACAAAATCCTGCAACATCTGGAAAACCAAATCTCTCTTCAATTAGACTCTACAGTTCTATCTCTGTTCATCTTTGCACTTTCAAACTTCTCAGAAGGACTGTCTTTCTTCACTTCCTCACCCAGTGCTCATCGCTTTCTAAATGATCTACAACCTGCTAGTCCCCTACAACTACTATATACAACTACCAATGAACTTGTCAAAGCAAAATCCAATAGCATTTTTCTCTTCCCTGATACTCAGCCTTCTTGACAGCAACCTAAGCAAACTATAGGGAGCCAGTCAGTGCATTCTGGTTTGTGTCTTAGCTCTCTGGTCCTCTGTGACCTCACTGTTTCCAGCTTTTGCTCAACATTGACTGGTATGGCATCCTGAGTTTGACCCTCTCCATATTAACTCCTCGTGGCCTTTTGGATTTCTGTAACATCGGTGGCTCGGCATGTATATGAATTTCAGGTCTTCACTCCTAGACCCTACTTTCTCCACTTCTAATGTCCATATGACCAATCACCTCACTTCATAGTGACTCAAATATTCAGGTCTATTCCTGCAGACCAACACCATTAGCAAGTCCCCCTTCTGCTCAGTGGTACTGTCGTTCCTTTTTGTCACCATCCTAAAGCTTTTCCGGAAACTTGTGCCTCGTTGGTGTCCTTGATTTTGCACATGTAATGATTTGGAAAGCCCGTACATTCATACTCTACAGTTTGCCCATCTCCTCTTTTCATTCAGACTTTTCCCTCCTATCTGGATTATTTCAGTGCTTTATAGCTTTGTTCCAAGAGTCTGTATTTGAATCTACTCTTATCAGCATGCATTTCCTAAATAAAACCAGATCATGTCATCCCTAAACACACAGGACAGTCTTCAGTGGGCTTCACTGCAGGAATAACTTTTTGTCATTTGCCTTTGTGTGCTCCTTTTCAGAGATGAGCTAAATCACAAACTTCTCCCTTAATGTTGCTGGCTTTCCTCCTTAAACTCATCTTTCTCCAAATACTCTCCTCCTGACTCGTGTCCCTGTTTTCTTGCATAATACCCATACTCTCTATATAAGCCTTCAAAGACAGTAACAAATGACTACAACATCTACTTCCCTTCATGATCCATACACAAAAATGTTAGGCATTTTGTGAATTTTATCTCCCTGGTGGCAACCATCACAGACCATCATTATAATTACTTGGTTATACACTCCATCTTCTCTACTAGATTCGAAGCAGACCATATACTTGCTCACCTATTTCCAATAGGACCTGAGTATCTTGTTTGTGATAGGCCTTAGAGAATATTCGATATTGTTATGCATAAAATAGAGGAGGACTCATTTTTATCCCTGAGATACTCTGATCTGAAGGAACACTTGTTGAATTCTAAGCCCTGTCATCCCCATATTTCTCTGTTCCTGTAAACATAGTCTCAGTAATATACTAACATCACAAGTATACATTTCCATGTTAATTGTTTCCAGTGGGAATTTAGATTTTTCTAAGTCATGCTTCATTCTGTGAAGTTCTTCTGTGACAGTTTTGTGATTAGAGTGTCTTTTAATGCTGCATGTTTCAGAGATATCGATCAAATGTTAGATATCAGGAGCGCTCAGATACTGTGAATGGAGCTGGGATCTAAACACATCATTGTCCTGAGTCTAACCTGACCTATGCTGTCTTTGTTCCAATAGTTAAACTGGTTTGGTTTTAAACACTTTTAGTATCAGAAGGGCCTTATTACAAGTCAGACTCACTAATTATAGAGCTTGTGGACCTCAAGTGGTGGTCCAATGAGAACAATGGGTTTTGCCATGTGCTGGTACTTGTACTATCATATCTGTGCAGGTCAGACCTGTGGTGGGAAGAGCTGTTTGTTCTGCTTATGATTTTAGCTTAATGACCTTTTTTTCATGAACTCTGGATTCTCACCCTTTCTGAGTCACTATGGCATTAAGATCATGAAACATATACCTCTGAAAATAAATTAGAATTTTAAGAGTTGGTTCACTGTTTCAATGACTCTTTTGTCTGTAAATATGAAGGACTCAGGTGGACAGGTTGTCACTTCTGGCCCTATGGCCCTCCTGTTCCCTTGGTTCTATTTAGCAATCTGACCTACTCTTTCAAGTTAATGTCTGTCTCTCTCAAGAACTCTTGAAGCTGGTCCTGCTCTTTCACTTTATCTGCTCTGGTAACAGATAATGTTCTCTTTCCTTCTCTTGGCCACCCTCCTCTATCAATCTCATAATGTCATTGGTCATGAATTATTCTCCTTCGGGAGGCATCTTCTGCCACTGTGTGCTCATTTAAAGCATGCTATAGTGAACCAAACTCAAATAAGTTACAGGCAGTGACAAGTCTCTTTTTCAAAGAAGCAAGTGAAGTTTATTCGTCATTGAGACAGCAGTGGGTAGAGAGATTATTATTGGCAACCTGGGGTAAAACGTGACAATTTAGGAGCTATCTAGTGAAAATTAAAATGTTAAGTGTACAGGGATAAGTTCTTTTAGAGTTTTGATCTTAGAAATGGGAATAATTAACATTTGAGAGCAAGGTCCATCTCATAATACTATGCTCCAAAAATGTTAGCCACCATGATTCTATCCACCTTCTTTGCAGGAGGAGGAGGCTCACAGTGGCTGGGATCTATTTGTTTCAAAAGAGGACTCTTTTCTTCTAAAAGAAAAGAAACGTGTCTGCCTAAAACCTCAGTCCTATTCAGAACAGTCTATGTGGCTGTCATTAATGCAGTTTAATTGACCATTTTTTGAAACTAAGGGCTATTTTAACATTCCCTTTAGATATGATATAAATACCTGCTATAAGAAAGTAGGCCACTGTTTACCTCTGCCTGGGTTCTGCTTTCAGCACCTTATCAATTGGTTTCATGTATTCTTCTAAGCCACACAGTTACATGCAATTAGATGATGGCTTTGCTATGAGCATCTTCATCCTTGTGCATCTTCCAAATATCAAACACACACACACACACACACACACACACACACACAGGTCTTAAGGACTGTCCAAACCATCAGTATCAATCACATTATGATATATCATACTGTGCATTGAGAACTAGATGGACAAACATATTGTAGTTTATCCAGTTAGTCCCTTCTCTTCTTTGCTATAGATTGCTATCCCTCAAGGTCTGAAAAAGTACCCAGGTTTTATGTGAAGGGAATATCTTGTCTGTGTTAGAACAACCTGACTATCTTGCTGACTTCTATTTTACCTGGTAAAATCCATAGTTTTCTCATATTCCATTAATGGATCAGTGCTAAGAGGGTGGAGAAGCAGAATCCAGTCTCCCTGAGAACAGGCAGTCCTGTTGCTTGGATACACGCATAACGTGTGTCCATACCTCTTGGAAGTATCCTAGGCCAAAGTGCGAGATCTGTTCTCAATAGAGATAGGAATAGGAATATGTACCTTGAGAGAGGCAATAATTTTTACTTTCTACCTCTCCAAGGGCCATGAACAGAGAAAATATCAAGGCTTCAAGTAAGAAAGAAAGGAGGATGGAAGGACATGCAGGTAGAAATCAAATTAAGAAAAACAGAGGATAGGAAAAAAAAAAACAAAAAACGTTTGATATGAAGGCGATTAGAAGTCACCCAAGACAGCTGTGCTTGCTCTGTACCTTCCATCTCATGTACTCTCCCTCCTTTCTTATTGATCATGAGGCGCTCTATGCCCTGTTAGCTCCGCTAACTCACCCTGAAGCCACATGCGCACCATACGTGAACACATGCACACGCACACAATTTTTAAATGAGAAGCTGAGAAAGCATAGACCTTGACTGTATACATGATATTTAATATTTCAAAACTGGAATCAGCTAGTCTATTTCCATTAGTTGGCCCTCTATTTTGATGACCAGGATACATAACTAGGCACCTTAGACTCTTGGGCACATTGAATGATCAGGGCATTCGCTTCAGGTGTGTCTTAGTTACAGGCATAAGAAGTGGATCACTAAGCAACTCGAAAAGCCATCCCATCAGCATTCTTGGTTAAATCCATGAAAAAAGCAAAAGAAGATCCCGAAATGCTACCAGTTTTTAATTCAACTCTGCCTCAGCCTTGGAGAGGGACAGTTTTGGGGATCACCGGAAGCCTATTTGGACCTCTACCAAGTTTGGCCTACTGTACATTTGAAGAAAACCAAAGTTATCAATAGGTGGATATGAGAAATTTACCTTCACCATTTCTCCAAGTGGCCTCCTTTGATATGGAAATATAAGTTTTAATTGTCCAGATGAAAAAAAGCACAGAAAAACTGGTTAAGACAAAAGTTATATTGTAAATTTTTGCCCAAATCAACACTTACCTGAATTTTGAACTCTCAGTCCAGCTCAGTGAGTAATACTGCTCAAATGGTCCACCATACCCTAGGTTTTTAGCATCTAACAGTGGAGATCAATCAAATCTAAAGAGCTGATTTAACTAATTCTTTTCCATAAAATGTGTCTTGTCAGATCTTCACTCCCACGCTTTCCCCCACACGGTCCATTAGCAAATGGTAGAACAGAAGAAGGAACCTGAAAAACAGAGAGAGAAAAGTTTCTCTAATGAGGAAAAGTTGATAAACATGTTTGACTATTGTGGAATAAAACATTGAGAATAATTTTTATTATTAAAAAAATTTATGTTCAAGCAACAGAAGTAAAAAGTGCATGAAAACAGTGGGGATGTTACACAGAGTGTCCCCCAGGAAAGGAGCCTTCAGAAATGTCTGTGAGGCAGCCATGACATTGTAGAAGTGTTAGCAGATTGAATACCAGCCCACAGGGAGGAAGGCACCTTCGAAACACAGACTTCTGCATTATTTTCCTGGGTGAGTCTATCTAATTTAGTCAAGTTCAAATATAGCCCGATTCCAGTATTAAGCTGTGAGTTAGTTGTGGAAACATTATGTACAAGTTTTATGTAGCCCACATAGGCAATGAACTTCTGAAGAAAGACCCAATGTCTGCCAGAACCATAATAAATAATTATTGACTGTCAAAATCTTGAAGGAAAGAAGGCAGGAAACATTCCCAGAGAATGATTATGAGACTTTGATATTGCCCCAAGATTGTAATGGTGAAACTTTTACCCTTCTCTTGGAACCTAACATAGAACCAAGCTCAGGAAGCAATCCACCTTCCAGAGGAGAGTATCTTTAGTATATATCACAAGAGATTTTTTTGATCCATGTACAGAACATTCTGTTGATAACCAAGAATAGTAAAGACAGTTTTATCTTAATATAGCCTTTAAACAAATTTCATTGGTCCATCCTGTCTCTATAGGGAAGACAAGGGAGAAAGAAATATGGAAAGTGGAGGGTGGTAAAAATTCTATACCATCACCTTAACAGTACAAGTATCCAAAGAGCCTGATCCAAGAATTTGGATTGAGGGTAAGAGATGATCAAAGAAAGGAGGTAACTTATTCTCATGCATGGACAGAGTTAGGACCAACACATGAACCCTCCTCAAGCTCCAAATTTAGACTCAAGCTGGTGATAAATATCTTTTCTTTCCTATTATTTGCCTCATGGTAGCTAGTATGAGATTGTGTAGCAAGTTAAAAAAAAAAAAGGGCAGACTGCACCTTGACTGCACGGTGACTTCATCTTCCTTATGAGTACCATTACCTAGATCATGATGCTCCTTAACAACAAGTAACAGGGCCAAGAGCTGATGAGGGTTTGCTGTATCTTATTCCCCTGAGATGACCATTCCCTGTCTTTTGTTATAGTTATATTCATTATGGGCTAGGAGGGAAGTAAGATTCATAGAACTCTAAGGACACAGAGAATTACTTAATTGAAACCACAAAGCTCTTCTGTTTAATATTAAATATTAAAGAGGAAATGAGAAAGGCAAAGCAACAGTACAGATCAGGGAAACATTATGGAGCAAGTTTTCGAAAGCAAATTTGAATATAAGACCAGATCAGCTACAACTCAAAGTATTTGCAGAATCAGAGTAGCATCCTCTTGTGAGGAGATTCTAGTGTGCCCAGATGCTGCCTGCACAAAGACAGAAGGTAAAGGCAATTTCTGAGCCTAGGACTCTCAGACTCTCTCCTGAACAGCAGTGTGCACGTTACCTTAAATTCCTTGCCACTGACCTTAAAGAAGGCAGACTGTAACTCCTCTGATACTGTGGACTGATTTCTTCCCAAGCCTGGCTTTTTCATTGGTCATTGCGATCTGGGTAATTAGTCCACACAGTCTCTTGGCCTTTTATCTTCTGTAGTTAATATGAAAGAAGAATCTAAGATACCCTGTTTGAGTAAGACCTATTGGAGACCAACTGGTGGAAGTTAGAAAATGAATAGGCAATGGGTTTCAGCACTGTGCCACCAAGGAGAGAAGTCTCCTGAGAAAATGTATATGCCCCCCAAACTTCTAAACAATTAGGAAAGTTGGAGCTTTAGTTGTAGGTTATCTTTCCATCAATGACTCAAGCCCTGACATAATTATTCTTTCTATCTTCTGCTTAAATATGCTTCCATTTCTAAGGAGATAAATTAGACCAAGACCAACACTCCAGCCTTCTTGGGTAGCTGTACATGTTTTCTGTGTATTTTCATTTTTTTAAATTTTATCTTCCACACAATGAAGAAAGTTGCCTGGCCATCACCAGACATCTTACTAGCAAATATGACATAGAAATCACTAAGAATGTCTAGAATCAGTACATTTAATCCCAGTATTATTTCAGGATCTTATTCTCTCTCCGTGATCTGTCTCTCCTCTGAGAGACTTTCCTCTCCTGGAGCCATTTTCCAAACATGATTTCACTCGTATTTCACAAAGAGTAATAGCTATACTAAGAAACTGACCAAAATTTTTTTTAATGTTTGACTTTTTTGTGATTTTTCATACTTAATATTTAGCCCCTGCTTCTCTATCTGCTTTCCCCCATAGCCTACCTACAGAACTTTATGCATTTTGTCACATAAGTTGTCCCTTAGTGCAAGATCATCCATTGGAGCCTGTTCAGCCAGTCTAGGACCACTCCCTCTTAAAATAGCACCTCTTAGTCACCCAGCAATGATCAGCTGCCAACAGCCCCTTGCCAAAGTTATGGCTTCCTGTCCTTTTCCCCAGTTCTCTGCTGGTTTTTGTCTGAGTTTGCATGGGTATTGTGCATGCTTTCACTGTTCCTGTAAGTTCATATAAGCAAGGTCCCAGGAGCTAAATACTTATTTTTATAGCCATTGCAAAGAGGCTGTCTTAGTTGAGAAGAGCTCTTCAAGTTCCTTCCACAGAAATTCTTCGGCACCCCCCTGCCTCTTACCGTTTTTCCGGCCCCACTTCTGGATTTGGGGTTTTCCTCTCCAACTTTTTTCCTATGTTGCAGAAGTGCATTCCTTAAGCTGAATTCTTAAACAGGTTGCTCAAAGAGAGTAATGTATCCTGACTTTCTTATTATTATTAAATTCAGAAAGGAGGAGTTGGAAAAAAAAATCGTAAGCAAGCAAACAAGGCCTTCATCCCAGATGCTTCAACTCAAAGTCAAGTGCTAGAAAGTGAGTGGCCTCAAGTGAGATGTTTTAGCATGAGGATCTGCTAAAAGAAATGAATGTGCTCTGGAATAGTAAGCAGCCAGTGAGTGCACACTGGTCTTTGGTGGTTCTCTCCCCCTTCCATCTCTTGCTCTCCCTCTGTCCCTCCCTCTCCCTCTCCTTTCCACAACCCTCCTTTTCTCTAGTTTGCCAATACACAGCATCTGTGTGATGGACCGTGTTTGGTTTCAGTTTGAATGTGCTAGTGCTGTGATCATATCCATAGCTTTCCTTTGCCCTATATTCGTAGGAAGCAACGTTTCTAAGTGTCTCAGCCAATGAGTTGTTGGATGTTATTTTTGAATTGTTCATATATACTATTGAAAGGAGAAAGAGGAACTAGAATGGAAAATAAATTCAGTGACAAGCAGACCAAAGAATCGTTCTGAAATACATTCTTCACCAAGCTGAGAAAAATCCAGAAGCCAAAAAAAGGGGGTCAGGGTAGAGGCAAGGAGAGGGTTATGGTCATAAGATGCTCTGGCTATTTTCCCTTGTCATCCCCCATGAGCCCTGGTAGGAGCAGCTTGCTGTCAGTGATTGCTGGGAAATGGTGATGGATTGACTTTAGAAAGAGTCACAGGCTGTCTTCCAGGAAGGCATTGATAGCAATGCACCTTGACTCTTCAAAAACCTATTCTACAAACGTTAGGGAAGCTCCTCTCCAAGGATTTCCATTTTCCAGTCAAGAATATTTTGAGTAGAAGAGCCCCGTGCTCCTTGTGATTACATTTACTTAATTGAGAAGCCAAAGGGCACAGAAGAGAACAGAACCCATCAGGGGAATAGAGTTAGCTGAACCTTTTTTTATTTCCTTCAAAAACTTTTAGCATGATTTTGGATCACAAAGTTAGGTCACCTTTGAGAGAGAAAATCTTTCAAATAAAATTGTATCTTTCCATCCCCAGTGAAAACACCAGGTTTTCTAATCTGATTACTGTTGACTCCAGGAAAGGAAATTGGTAGATTGGATTACAAACCGTCATTTTACAGATTGATTTAATCCTGATTCTTACACATATTAACATGGAATTTACTGACTCAGACGTGCTCTTTTAAGCTATAAAGCCTCATTAAAGGGTAATAGATCATATGTTCTGAGCCAACCTGGAAGGCTAAAACATTAAGTAATCCTCCCCCAAATTCAGTCTATTAATTCTACAATTGCCATAAGGCATTTAGGACATAGGCAGCAGAGGAGGAAAAGAACAGAGATCAATTGACTAATGAGACATGCAGTTATTTTAATTATCGAAAAATAATAAACCCAAGGACAGTTCTCACATCAGAAAAGAATCTTGGAAAGTAAGTTTTGCAGTTGTCACTTAAAGGCTTAATGAAAAGAATGTCCAGGGGAGGGATCTTGGTGTGTGATGTTTTTGCCTTAGTTTTTAATTGAAACTCATATATGGAAATTTTTTTCTGTAATTCTAGGGCATGTTTTGGAGAGATGATTTGTCCTTGCAAGGTTGTTTGTTGAGTGGAAACCCCCATGCCAGGCAAGTCTAGGTGCTGGGATAAGAGCATGAAGTCCATACCTCTTGAAGTTTGTGTACCAGTGAGAGGAAATTAAAAAAAAATGAATGTATCATTATACTAGGTTTAAGACGTCTATCAGACATGCAGGTACAAGTGTAGATTAAGCAACCAAATATATAAGCCTGAAGTTGAGGGAATAGGTAGAGCCTGAAGGCATGTTGAACTCAGCACCATTTGGATGATGTTGAAGCCATGAGGCTAGATCTAAGTGGTGAGGACAGGCAGAAGACAGTTCACCAGACTGAGTCCTGCAGACAGTCAGAGTCCCAGCAGAGGACATACCACTCTGGGAGGAGCCCTCAGGGACAAAACAACTGCTACCACAAAGAGAATACAATCCTATGGAGCTCATCCCACTGGTGCCCTTGTGGGGACAAAAGCATCCTGAGGATGGGCTAAAAAGGATGGGGGGAGGAGAATAAGTGACAATGTGGGTACACAGCTCTTTTAGGAATTCTAAGGAGGACATAGAACTACCCAGAGGTAAAAGAAGTTGTGGGACCCAGAGAGGAATTTTGTTTTAAATAGACGGTTTTGAGAAGACCAAAATGATCCATTAAAGAAGGGATATTGATGATGCTTAGGGAGCGAAGACAGTGCCTGGAGAAATGTATCTGATGAGTGAGGGGCAGAGGAAAGGAATCCAAGGCATAAATGGAGGGTTGGATGAAGGAGCCTCCCAGATGCTTTACAATAATAGATCATGGTACAGATGGGCACAGATGCAAGTGGGTTGATACATGTGGGAACATGACTTTTCTGATTGATGATTCTTCAGTAAAGTACAAAGGGAATTCATTAGCTAAGAGTGGTTTGGATAGCAAATACTGTAGGTTCTGAGAGAAGCAACCTAAGTCAGTTCCATAGTCATTTAGCAGAAAGGGGAGGGATGATAAAACGCAGAGAGCATGCTTGGTGGGCTTCAGGCTAGCTTGAAGTTCTGAGATCATGAATTTAAAGAAATTAAGGAATTTTCTACAGTCCTATTCAGCTCTTCACCTGGAGTGTTGAGTTAAATAGGATTTGAAAACAGCACACAATGTAGAGTTAAGGACAACTGTTATGGTTTGTCATGAAAATCTAAGCTGGGTGAAAAAGTGAGGATTTTTAGAGAATTGTCTCAAGTTGCAGGCAGGTGGGCTACACTGCAGAGTTCCAGACCAGCCTAGGCTACAGAGTGAGACCTTGATTCAGAAACAGTAGAGGAATAATGGGAAGAAACGCAGGTAGAGATCACTGACTTACTGAACCAGGGTCCTAGAAGGAATACTCTAGAAATTAAGAGCTAGGTCAGAGATCTGTATGCTGGGGACCAGGATTATGGAATGGTTGCTGTTGAGAATGAAATGTTTTAGAGTTTGGAATGGGGCTGGGGAGTTGATAGAGGGAGGACATTCGTAAAGAGCAGAAGTCAAGGAACTGAGAGACCAGGATGAAATGATTGTTTATGTAGATTCTGACTACTGTCATAGGAATCCATATTTATAACACAGATTAAGGGAAGTAATTCAAGACAGTTTCAATCATTGTATCAGGCAAGGGGAACAGCTACTGTTGCCTGATGTGCTCAAGTTGAATTTGATCACTGTGTGTATTTCTTTTTGAGGAAGAAGGAGGGAATATGGTCTGGGAATGACATGATGAGCAAGGAAGCCACTTATGTCACTTCCAGGCTGGTGGCATGACAGCTGTGTGAGAGGAAAGCATACCCCTCATCAGGGATTCAGGGACTTCAAGGAGAGGACAGAAACCATCAGGGTGTGTGGCAGCAGAGGACCATGGAGTCACAGGAAGGAATGGGAGTTAGGCTTTACGGAGAGGTGTACTCGGGCATCTGCAGATAAAAGAGTGAAAAGAAATATGCAAGAGTCTTTGGCTCTTCATGCTGACTATCCTAACCCAGGCTTATGGGTCTTTGGGATTGGTGCTGGTAGTTTTTGTCAGATAGTACAAGTCTTGACAGCAGCACATGGAACTCTGGTGGGATTTTTTCAACCCCCCTCCCCCCATTTTCTTTAACTTTTACTATATTTTTACTACCATATCGTATATGTTATTTTTGCTTGGTTGTCTGGAGATGGCATTCAATCCTCCTGCCTCAGTCTCCTGAGGGCTGAGATCACCGGCATGTACCCCCAAGCCTGGCTTGGCTACTACATATTTTCATGGATGTCATTAGATGTGACCCTGGACAGAAAGTGCATTTTGACTGTTTATCCTGGAAAGACCACATTTCCACTGTAAATCTCCTTTCTATTTTAAAAACTTCTAATGCTCCTCGGGGGAACCATAATTCTTTGTTCTTACTTACCACATTACTTTTTATCTTTTAAAAGAAATCTAGAAGAATAGAAAACAACTTTGCCTCTGCCCAATTGTAGCAAATGAACATTTCCTCTGATCATTTTTATGTAGTATTCTCTTTTGTGACCGAGAACAATAGGCCACGAGCATTAGGAAATGATTGGAAGTCTTTAAAACTTTGAAGGAGAGTTTTGGACAATTAGGACAGTTAGGAAAGGTGTTTGAGTGGGGCTGCATTTAAAGGAAAAAAAAGCATTTTGAAGTTAATGCTGGAAAAAAGTATGAGATTAGATCAAAGGAAGCCGGGAAACAAAAAACACTGTAGCATTTGGAGATTTAGCCAGAGTAAGCTTGATCCTGTCTCCTCTGAAACATTCCACATACTTCTGACACCAGTGGTAGGCTGATTCTGTTTTATTTCCTGGGAGCTTAAGAAATCATAATTTGCAAACAGACAGAAGCTCTTGAGCCATTTCTAGTGAGCTAGTTTTCCAAACCCAGCAGAATCTTGAACAGGGCATGAGATCATATTACAGTGGCTGATTCAGATTCATCGTCCACCAGTGAACACACTCCCTTCAGTTCCAGCATGTCCTGCCTGGTGATCCCCACAAGGATTAGTTGGTGTTCACCCAGGCTCATCTAATGCCTGTCTTTAGTTCTTGTGATGGAAGGGAATTAAAGCCAACTGAAGGGCTTATTGCATGCTTTACGCACCAAGGATGGATGGAACTCCTTTAGGAAAGGAGTGGGAAACAGAAGCTAGAGGTACGTGGTTTGGTCCTGATGGCTTTACTTCCCAGCTGGTAGGATTTCAGCCTTTCAAAGGTGAACGCTAAACAACATGGCTTCCATCTGCCTCAGATTTCCCCGTCTTCAGGTTGGCTCCTAGGCCAACTTAACTGGGGATGGCTCTGTATGTGAGTCAGTTTGTGGGAGGTGTGGAAGCAGAGGTGAGCAAAGGAGAGGGAATCTAAGTGGGAGCTGTTATCCAATGACCACCCAGTATTCATATTTTTCTAGTAGCCATGACTCTTGTGGACATATGTCCAGGGAGCTAGCTAGCATGTTAGAGTGGGGAGTAGAGAAGAGACAGGAAAGGACAGTGAGCTCTTACCTGTAGGGAAAGTCTCTTTGCTCCCACCTGACACATAGGCCTGTGCTCTAGCAGTATCATAATTACACTTAGCCACAAGGCCAATGCATGTGGGTGTGAGTGCAAGCATGGGGGGTAATGATGCCCAATACACACCCACAGTGGATTGTGGCACAGCTGTGGAGCCACATCCTTCCTAAAGTCATAAGGGAGAGGGATAGCGGTCATAGCTTTCCTGGTGTGGTAGCCCCTGCCCAGGGAAAGCACTCAAGCTTGCCTGGACTCTGTGAGGCCAGATCCCACCTTCCTTCTTCCTCTCGACTCTCAGATCCCCAGCCCATTCACCTCCAAGTTCTTTTACATTTGTTTTGGTTTGGTTTGGTTTTCTGTAAATATCTATTTCTTATTTTGGACATGCAGGGATCATTTGAGATTCTGGAGTGGGGGGAGGGGCGGATGACTGGGTCTTTTTATTTTTATTTTTTTCTTTCTCTCTTGGATTTTGGTGTTTGAACTTGAAAAAAATACAAGTATATATATAAGCAAATGACTTACCTTTAACAAATGAAATAAGTTGATTTCATTCTTTTAATTTATCTTGTTTCTCATTGGGGTAGGGTGGGGGTGGGGGGTCTTTGGGTGGAGGGCTTTTTTGTGAGCTGTATAGATTTCCAGTTTGGACTTGTTCAAATGATGCAGGAACAAAAATTAAAATGAATTAAAAAAAAGACAACATAAAAACAAGAAAAAACTTTGTGATGTACAAAAGCTGTAAATAGTCAAAGATTCTTTCTCTTTTCTAATGGCAAATTATTTCTGTCACTTTATATTCAAAAAATAAAGAAACCTACCACAAATTATCAGGGTAAAAAAAAATCCAGGATCAGTGTTTTTTCTTGATCTTTGTGTTTTCTTTACTATTGTTCAAAAAACCTTATTAAAGACTGGGTTTGGAATGATGGGGTGGGAGGTCCATCTTTCCCACTGGGTTTCAAGTTGTCAGTATTTATGTGCATAGTGAATCTAGCTAGTTATGAGTCAGTTTCTGCTGCTTGATGCTGATGTCGCTTGGTTATGGAATAGAGGATATTTTTTTTTTTTTTTTTTTTTTTTTTGGTCTTTTTGAGACAGGGTCTTCCTGTAGGTTTTGATGTTGTGTTCGTTTTGTTATGGAATAAGGGATTTTTTTTTTTTTTTTGTCTTTTTGAGACAGGGTCTCCTTGTAGCCCCAGCTGTCCTGGAACTATGTAGACCAGGCTGGCCTCGAACTCACAAAGATCCACCTGCCTCTGCCTCCCAAGTGCTGGGATTAAAGGCATGAGCCACCACGCCCAGCAGAATAGAGGAATTTTAATGATTATGAACAAAAAGCAATTTTTTTAGCTTCCTTAAGATTCTTGATCACATTACTGGCAACCACATTCTGTTTTCTTTGCAATGTGAAAAAATTTAAATATATCCAAAAGTAGATAGGAACGGCATTATGAACCTGCAGGAATCAACACAGAGCTCCTAGGACCAGAGAGATGGTTCAATGGGTAAAGGTGCTTGCTACCAAGTCTGACGCCAGAGTTTGGTCAACTAGACCTATATGGTAGAAGGAGAGAACTGACTCTGGCAAGTTATCCTCTGACCTCCACGAGAATATTGTGGTACTATGTATGTGTGCTCACATGCACTCTCTAAATAAAATGTAGTGGTCGATTATCTGTAGTCATGGCCTCCTCCAACATCATCTTGAAACGAATTTCCTAACTACCATTTCATCTGCATTTCAGTGTGTATCACTAAAAATTATGAACTTATAATCACAAAGACATTATAACATCATGATGCAAAAATACAGTGATAATTTCTCCACAGCACTATCTACTATTCAAACTTCTAATTGTATAAATGTTATTTTCTAGTTACATAGCGCCCACATATGTAGCTTTTTCTCAGTTCATTTTGAATCTGTTTTGAGCAGCTTTACCTCTCAACTCCTCTATCTTCTTAGAATTTATGAGTGAAAAAACTGCAGGGTTTGTTTTGTTTTGTTTTTTGCCTACAAGGGTTTCCTTAATGCCCATGCTAATTATCCATACATGCCACTGTTCTCTGTATTTCCTATAAATTGGTAGTTGGTTTGCCCTTTAATTTATAATTTTATTGCTTAAAGGTGTCAGAAAAGCCAAGTGGCCCACATTTTAGTCAATGTGAACTGTATTTACAAGAATTAGACAGCCAAAGACACCAAGTGCCTTCCAAGTCCCCAATAGTAGTGTTGGTCTAGTCACAAGGCATCTAACTAGCTCCCTTAGTCAAGACAAGAAAGAAAACTTCATCTGGCTTCCTTTGAGTTTTGTGTTTCTCCTGAATTGTATTTTCCCCTTTCTAGTTCTGGTCTTGTCACTGGCTTTATATGTAGATGCTGCATGATTCCTTTTCCTGTACATTAATTTCTAATTTATTCAAGTTAAATAATAGTAGCTCCTCTTCATCTATTCCTAGTGATTCAATAAAATAGCATAGATACATTTAGTATTGCAAATGGTAATATATAAGGCTTATTCCAGTATCACTTTAGTAATAAAGCCATATTCTCCACCTCTTATCCTGTTCCCAGAAAGGACTGTAAGGCCCACCAGTGAGTAGAAAGCTATTTTATGACTTTTGTGAACTCACATGTAGTAGTCTTGGGTAGCAGACAATCCTGCTAATCTCTGCTTCATCTTCCAAAATAACTCTGTCTCTGGAGTCATTGTCTCAGAGAGATTCTCTCCAAGAGTTCCTCCTGTACCAAAGCAAGAGTCTGTTTACCTTGAGCATCCAGAAAGTAGAACGCTCTAACTTAGAGTTGGTCCCAGAAACAGTGATCCCCTTCAATTCCAAAAATCCTGAAAGCCCATATTATCCTCAAACTTTATCAGGAATTTCAATGTTATTATAGTAAGTACAGGCTGAAAAATCTGAAATGTGTTTTTTAAAAGCTGGGAGAAGCCAGGCATCAAGGCACATATCTTTAATCCCATTACTCGGCCGGCAGAGGCAGATGGATCTCCGTGAGATAGAAGCCAACCTGGTCTTCACATAATGAGTTCCTGGCCAAATTTGGCTACAGGAAGACAGACTCACAAAAACAAAAGTCAGAGCGAAAACTTCCACTCAAATCTTGATTCTGATTATGAACGAGAAAACTTGAAGCTTTTGCCACCACTATGACATGCTCAATAAAGCAAAGGCTCCAATGACCAAGATCCATGTGGCTATTCCTGAGACTGTAGCAGGTGTCTGTTCTTCATACTACCTGACACCATATGGGACTTCTTAAATTAATTAGTTCAGAGTCCCTGTGTGCTGTGCACCTCTGTGCCATCCTGAGTTCCACTGTAAGAGATTGCCAGAAGGACCAAGGGAACAGTCACATCTCTGTCAAACAACTCTTTTAGGAAGATGGCTGTTAGTCATTTCTTTCATTGCTGTGACCCAACACCTAACAAGAAGAGCCTTAAAGAAGGAAGAGTTTGACTCACAGCTTGAGAGTATAGTCAACTATGGTAAGGCCAGTCATGGGAGCAGCTCACAGCTGCGGCAGCAGGAATGTGAAGCTGCTTGCTCACATCTCAGTAGGCCAGGAAGCAGGGACAGAGGCCTGACGCAGGGCCAGTCTGTGATTCTCAAGCCCCCACTACCACCATGGGACATACTTTATCCAGCTAACGCCTACCTCTTAAATATTCTACAACCTCTCCAAACAGTACCACCAGTATGCCTTGGAGATCAGTTCCAGGACTCCCTTATGGGTCTCAAAAGTCAGAGGATGCTCAAGTTTTTTACATAAAATATCACAGTATTTGCATAGACCCTATGTATACCTTTTAAATGTACTTTAAATCATTTCTAGATTGCTTTTAATTCCTAATACAGTGTAAATACTATGTGAAATATATATGTTATACTTTTAAGGGGATGGCAAGAAAAAGCCCTAGTTATATTCATTATAGATGCAATTTAAAAAATTTTCATCTTCAACTGGTTTAAGTCATGGAAGTGTAACTGAAAGATATATAGGGCTGACTATATTTTCCTTACCCCACATACAAGCTTCAAATAATCCTCTCAAAAGGATTTAAAACTATGAATTATTTTCTGGAAGTTACTTCCTCACTTCTAACTCTAGAATCACAAGAGAATGGGAAATACCATCAGAAAGAAGTTTCTGAAACACTCCAGAAAGCATATCAGAAAGTCACATCAGGGCAGGAGAGATGGCTCAGCGAAGGGTACTTGTTGATCTTCCTGGGGACCCACATCAGGTGACTCACAACTGTCTGTAACTCCAGCTCCAGGGGATCTGATGCCCTCTTCTGACCATCAATGTCATCTGTATACAAGTGGCATATACACACATATAAATTAAAATGTAAAGTAAGTCCTAAGAAAAAGAAAATTTTATGTCAAAGTTATCATTAATGGGTCTACAGCAAAGGCATTTAATATCAGTTTTGATTTTCTTACTTCTAATTCCATAAGTGAACCTGCTTATCTGCCCTGCACACAGGCTCCATCACCAGTACTTATCAACACAGCTCTTACTCCAAAAGGAGTAAGAGGTAGTTTATTCTGAGCCAAATATAAGTGATTATGACCAGGAATATGGACTCAGGTTTCCCTGAATGACTGCTCCTCCATAATGGTTGCATGACCTTTCATAGCCATGGAACAGAAGACACACATAAACCAATGCATTTACCAAAACATTGGTGGGGAGGCCAGGCAGGGAAAATGGGGAAAGTTCTATATAACAATATTCTTAGCTTTTAGGCTGGTGAAAGAGACTAGCCCACCAACTTATTTTACCTGATAGTTGAAAAGCTGTTATGACAGTTACACATGTATCTATATGGCTATGAAGAGGACTGTAGGCAACCGAAAACAATCTTCGTTCTTAACCTGCAATAGTCCAGCTCTCCACATTCACAGAAGTTACTAATCAGTCAGTCTATGGAATCTTCAACAGGTAAGTGGCATTTTTTAGAGAACTTTAGTTCACAGATGTACATTGGAGTTATCTGGGTAGTTTAAAAATGTTGGTGCCTGAGTCTATAATCATTTAGAAATTTGAATTCAGTTGTTCTGGGGAATACCCTGGGCACAGGGACTTAACCCCTCCCCAAATGATTTTAATTTGCAGCCAAGATGAAGACAGAACCATTTCATTGGTATACTTGGGAAATTGAGATCTCATACTAAGAATTCAACTTTATGATACAACTGTTGTCTGTTGTAAGTCACAGCCTCACTATGGAGTGCCCCCCACTCCTGGAAGGAAACCTTTGGGCACTTCTAAACCCTTTTCCTTCTCCACTAGGATCTACAGAATAAACATAGAATAGACTCATTTGGCTGTTATACCCAGTTCTGAGTGTTTTCTAGTACCACAGAACATGGCTAGATGTACTACCCAAAAAGCTAGTCTACCAACAGAAATTCTATACCTAAATTTCAGATTTGAAGTGGATACTAAATATGACTATTTCCACAATGGAAGGAAAACAAAACTGTTAAACTTGTAAGACATAGCTTCATAGTCATGACTTATGACTGCCTCAAATTAGAATCTGTTGCCTTTTAAGGACTATTTTTCATTATTAATTTAAAAGAATTTTACATCTCCTTACTTTTTGAGTGTGTGTGCTTGTCTGTGCGTGCACGTGCGTGTGTGTACATCTGAAAGTTGGAAGACAACTTGCAGGAGTTGGTTTCACCTTCCATCATGTGGGTCCTGGGGATCAAACTTGGGTCATCATGCTTGCCAACAAGCACCTCTACCTACTGAATCATCCCAAGGCCTTTTATTTGTTGG